GTGCAACTTTGGGATCCTTATGAATGGCACACAGGGTCTCAACTCCACCTTTTTTGCAGTTGGTTCTGCCCAACTTCACAGTGAAGATGTAGTTCATGCCAGCGACAACCTGGAGTGTCAACCAGAAACATGTTCAGACATAGTTGGGCCAACCCAGAGTATAAAAAAAACCTGTATAGGTCCCAATTAAAAAAAAAATAAATAAAAAAAATAATTCAAGTTAAGGCCAGCCACCACTGTTACGAAGTCATGCTGGAGAAAGCTGGCTCTCTCTCTCTTTCCAAGTTTCAATATTTATTGAACATGTCTAGCAAATCACACCTGAACAATCCTTTACTCTTACCTTATATAAAATTCTTATTTAGCATATAATAAATAGCTTTCAAGTTGAGGCAAACGGTTCTGTTGTTCTCTTTGTACAACTGGGAAAATTTAATGGTTCTGAGATTTCACACAATTCTGAACAAATCTTTACATGTCATCATTCAGTCACCATGACAGCGTTCTAGGAGGAACTTTATCACTGGGTTTGATTCAGCGACGTTCCCAGTTTAAATGATTACAAACCGAATAAACGTTTAAAGTACTTACTTGTTGTTGGACCTTGATGACCTTGGAAACCTTACGCACAAACTCATCGTTGCTTTGTCTGTTGTACTGGGCCACTGCGAACCGTAACGCCTTCTGAACATCTTCATCGTTAATGTTTGCATCTACAGGGCCTCCAGGAATCCCAGCGCTCGCCACGGCCAAAGTCACAACCAAAAACGACACAATCATCTTACAATACATGCTTAAATGGGATTAACTGACTCGCCCTGTCTTGATTCTTCCTTGCTCCTTGTTATAGCGACAAGCAAACTGCAAACAATTCTGTTCACTGAGATTATATATATACCTGCGTGTAGGGGCGGGGCGTTGTACCTCTACCAATCAGATTCAGGGAGAGGCAATGGGTTTGGAAAAATTCATTGTTTTGTCTTTTTTAATTTAATTACAGCCCTTGTAAGGCGTGCACTGTATTGGAACATTCTTTTTAGTCTTCCTCTTTGCACATTGCAATTAACTGACATTGTTTTGCGGATAATTTTAGTCTTATATGTGATCCTGGACCACAAAACCAGTCATAAGGGTCATATGACTTGTATATACTCTAAAAGCGGAATAAATAAGCTTTCCATTGATATATGGTTTGTTAGGATAGGACAATATTTGGCCGAGATACAACTATTTGAAAATCTGGAATCTGAGGGTGCAAAAAAATCAAAATACTGAGAAAATCGCCTTTAAAGTTGTCCATATGACGTTTTTAGCAATGCATATTACTAATCAAAAATTAAATTTTGATATATTTATGGTAGGAAATTTACCAAATATCTTCATGGAACATGATCTTTACTTAATATCCTAATGATTTTTGGCATTAAAAAAAAATCGATAATTTTGACCCATACAATGTATTTTTGGCAGCTAAAAATATACCCCAGCGACTTAAGACTGGTTTTGTGGTCCAGGCTCACATATGTGTTAGTCAGAGTGTCCTTGTATCTTACACCTTTAACCCTTGATTAATCAGGTAGGGTAAGGATAGTCAAATCTAGCCTAAACCATGAAGTACTCACCCGCCCGCAGATTTAAGTTCTTCAGGAGTGACATAAAAGACTCCCTTGTGGTTGTTATTGTTTGGCTCAGGTTGAAGTTATGAAGTCTAATGGGAGGCGATCGAAACAATAAAATCGCTTATTTTATTAGTTACAATACAAAGCAGTTAATGCAAAAATTCTGTAATCAAAGTCTAAACAGCAATATTGGAGAATCCTATTGGACATTACGATTTATTTAAATGGAATTTCACTTTGTCCTGTAGGATGTTACTGGATTCTCAGTATCCCATTGAACATTCAGATTTATTTTAATGGAATTTCACTGTGTCCTTTCTTTCTTAGATCTTTCTTAGAATCTTATTGAACACTGTGTTTTTATTTAATCGCATTTTACTTTGTCCTGTGATATTTTTTGTTCTATGAATTATTTAATGAATTACTTTTTAGAGTAACAACTTTTTTAGAGTAACATTGTGTGTGTGTGTGTGTGTTCATGCTGTAACCATCTAAATCTGTATTGTAAAATAATTTAACACAATTGAACAAACAAACTGTCACACCCTAGAACTGTTTTCGTTCCCCATGTGCTCTATGTGACCTAGTTTCTGTCTCCTGTTAATTGTGTCATTATGTTCAGGTGTGTTATGTCATTATCCTCATTAACATTCCCCTTATAAGTTGCATTCTGTTCAGTGTTTGGTTGTCCGGTCTTGTTGATGTATAGGTGTGTTGCTACCTTCTTATTGTGAATTATTAAAGCCTTGCTATTTATCTTCTTCTTCCTCGTGCTTCTCTCCCGCACCACACAGTGACACAAATAGTTCATTTTTATTTAAAGCTGGCATATGCTATGCTGACAATAAAATGTTT